AACAGGCGTTTTCTACTATTTATAAGACTTTCCACTTAATGATTCATCTGCACTGCAGATGCAGTGGGAGAAGGGGGCTGTTTACAACACAGTTGCAATGTGTAGGACAGGCAGGATTTACTCATTCTTTTGGGTCCTTTAGCTACACAATGCAGGAGTTCTCAAATGAGAGGTTTTGATCTTGGACTTGGAAAACAGAGTTATGAGCCACAAAAGCAGAAAAGCACGAACATGTTATAAGACTGAAAACTTAAAATGCAAAGAACCCAGAGGATATCTGCTCTACACTGACTTAGGACTAGCTTTTGAGGCATATGGAAATTCCATTTGTACCTGGTCTTTATCAATAATGCAGTCTCAATGGATACAGGGGGCCTAAGCCTCAGGTTCGACAGGACACTCAGAGTCCAACAGATCCAGTGAGATAAACCCAAAAAATACAGGATGTCCTATATGAGATGGTCAGCCTATCTTCCTCTGAATCATTCCTTAGCATCCTCTGGCAGCCCAGCATGGATGGACTTCTCCATTCATGGCTTTCAGCTCTTCCCATATTTCTCTGGTAGTTAGATTTACATAATAATAAATATAAATACACACACACATATATATACTAGTATTAGTAGTCCAAATTGTCTGAAAAAGTGACTTCAGGTCGTCCTTCTAGGCATGTGCAGCTTCGCTAAGTCTGTGAGTTACACGAATTACAGTTTTCTTGCCCCCACTCAGTTCAATGTCCATGACATAAAATGAAGCACTAGGGACAGATTGTTCAGGTGAGTTTATTCAGATACAACAACTGCAAAATAACAGGATTCCCAGAAGAAAATGACCCTCTATTCCACAAAACAGGTGAGGAAAAAAAAGTTAGTAACATAAATTACAAATTTTGGCTGAAAAATTTTGAATTTCATTACCCTCTGAGGTCAGCACAGATACTCTGTTAAAAGCCTTTGATATTCTTCAGAGCAGTTGGTATTCTCTGGAAAATTCTTTACAGTACTAACTGTGCTGAGGGATCAAGTCACAGCCCACTAGTGGCAGTCACAGAGCCAGATCCCATCCATTTTCCGCTCTCTGGACGGTACCATGCCTCACCGTACCTTCTGGGCAATCCCATTTATTAATGGACCTGGTTGCAGACCAAGGTATTACTGAAATTGATGTAAATTTTCAGTGTGTTATGTAGCAGTTGTACCACAAATACAGACTACAGTTAAAAATTAACTAAGTTAACCTTAAAAATGACTCACCAAAGGAAAAATACAGAGCTTTGCAGAATCATTCTTGGCTTCACTTTCTAGGCCTTATACTATTTTACTGTAGCACGAATTACATTTGGGACATAAACCAGAATTGTTTCACTTGCTAAAACTCCTAAAGTAATACCTACAAAATTATGGCAAATGCCATCAAAATGCTAATTTTGGCATCAAAGGGATGTGCTTAAACACACCTGTCCTCAGGAAAGCACATTATCACATGCTTAGAGCTGAATTCCCATGTAAGTGCTTTCCTGAGCCAGAGCCCAAACAATGATGAAGCAAGTGAAGCTCCAGAGGTTTGTGACCTCCCCAGATTTCTATGTGATCTTTCTAAATATAGATGATCAGATTCTGCAAAATGACCTGTACAGCTCTGTCAAGCTACATGGGTTGTTCATTGAACACGCTGACTGAAAAGACAGTATTGAGGAAAACAAAAACTTTCTATTTTATATTATTTCTATGGATTATAATTTGGTTTAAAAATTACAATTCATGCAACAACTTTACTTCTTCCTCATCACTGTCAGTTACATTGACTAGGTGGACGCTGGAGGGACTAGATGGAGTAGCTGACAAAACCTCCTCCAACGTTGCAACATCCAGCTGTGGTAGGGGGCTTAAACACCGCTCCTCGTTGCAGCTGTTGTGAGAGGACACTTCTGCAAGGCTCTCATAGCTGCTGCGGTCCTCACGTATGCCTTCTCCCAGGTATTGTCTGAAAGAATAGTTTCCATTCAGAGCTGGAAACATCACCTCCTGTCTTTGGTACCTCTCTTCATAAAAGCCAAGGTATTCAGGCACTGAGCTGCAGAAATTCCCATAGACAAATGGAGGTCGGCCAAACAGGCATGTGCTGCAATGAAAGAGAGTGAAAGTTGGCTTTCAGAAATGCAGATTGACTGGACTTCCATTCAGCTAAGAAAACCAGAATGACACCAATGTTCTATACTAGTCAGCTTATCCTGTTGAAATACCCAAAACACGCATAATTTAAAACCATGCCCAATTTAAATGCTGAGGCCACAACAAGAGTCATGTGCAGATGCCATATCTGTGCAGATGCACTTCTTCATGCTAGATACACACATGATGTTGTTTTGAAAATAAACATGAAACCCACAGTATTTATCAATGAAATAATATCACCAACAAACCAGCATCTGATAAGCCTGCAGTATGTTAACCGACATATTCAGAATAGTAAAACAGACTATCAGAAGTCAGTTTCTGTTATTTCTGTGTGCCAAAATTTGTGACAGAGATGAGCTACAACACTTCTTTTATTCTTTTGAGTGAACTCTTGCATGTTACATTGTTATTAAATAGGAGGCCTGACAGAGAATCCCTGTGCCCAATATGTGGATGTCAATGTTACTATTTAAACAATGTACCGTGATCCATTTTTAATAAGCAGCCACATAGCCACATCAAACCATGACACAGATTGCAGGAAGTTACTATGCCAAATGTAACTGTATTCCTCCAGTGTCAGAAGTTTGAATTTTTATGTTGATGCAGAATGACACATGTATTGTAATTTACACAGTGTTACAGAAATTCACTGCATTGTTAAGAAAACAAAATATGTGAAGAAATAATAGAGCTCTACAGAGCAGACATTATAAAAACATTGATACATGTCTATTGAGGTTTGGAGGAGACTTCATCTTTCCAATCTAATATTTAAAATTTTAGTGCATAAGTCTGCATACATACATTTGCACTGACAGTGCTACTCAGAAATTATGATTCTTGTATGCAAGAAATGAGTTTATAGAAATGTGAACTTATAAATCATTGTGTTAGAAAGATCCTGGCATTAGGAAAGCTGGCAGCCTTCAGTAGTCCATGAATGTGTGAACTCAGAACAGTCTTTTATGGTACAAGAACACTCCTCTCCCTCAGAGGCCTCACAAAACTGTCTTAATTTCAGAGACCAAGGGCTGAGCAAAGCTCATCTTTAGCACTTTTGAAAATATGTGTCCTGTGTTTCTTTAAAGGACCTCAAAAATAGAAATGTCTTGTATTGCACTTATCAGGTCGTAAAGTCCTTCTGAGTTTGATGGGTCATCATCAGCCCTAAGTTATGACCAGCTAGTCTTATTGCCATTGGATGTCGCTATTAGTAGGAATGAGCAGTGCATAAATGGCAAGAATTTAAGTCTAAGAGTAGTAATAATTTGTTATATTTTATATCGCAGTCATGAAAGAAAAATGATGCCTTACAGAGAATACGCATCAGTAGGCCATCAGACGACTTGCGTTGGAGCAGCACACCTGCTGCTGGGAGGGCACTGGTGCTTTCTGGGCATGCTTAGCTTAGGAAATACCCATTGGATATTACATGTGTTAGCTTGTAAATTCTTTGATTAGGTGATCTCTGATTGACTGCCCAGAGACTACAAAGGAAAAGCTAGGAATTACTACTTACGTAAGAACTCTGAAGACATTTCCCACCAGGCTGGATTTCAGAAATATTGGTAGTTGTAACAGCTGTGATCATAGTATCCGGGAGACATCTTACACACCTACTTCAATTTCTACCCAATCATTTTCAAAATATATTTACACCATCTCTACCTAATGCTTTTCTGTAGAAATGAACTGCACTTGGATGTATAAAGTGGAGGGAAGATACATCCGTTTACTGTGGGCTTGGGAGTGCCAATTAGTACAACAGTACTACGGAGCCTTTAGTAACTCGCCATATATTACAAGCGGCCTCAGGCCAGCAGGTCCCACCACACAAGAGCTACAGGAAGGTAAGGGCACCTTTCCTTCTCAATGCTCCATCTGCTTTCTGTAAGTCAAAACATTCTCTGCCTTTTAGCATTTCTTCTTACTGGCATTGAAATGAAGGATTTCATTACCTTGAGGGGAAACAGTGAGGTCCAGGTAAAAAGTAAGGGTGGTGAAATGCAAACCGAGGAGGTACTCCAAACAGACTGGCTGGCTGACCAATGGGAGATCCATAAAGATGTGGGTGAAGAAAAGGAGTAGCTTGGGGAAGAGGTACACCTCTAGGAAAAATAGAAACCCCTGGGTACTCCCTTGGGGGCTCATTATTAGAGACAGAAAATCTGCCATTAGTGGTGGTTATGTTACTTGGGTTTCTGCTGAAGCTCTCAATTAAAACTGGTGCAGGTCTCCTCAGAGAGCAATTGAGCCCAGATGGCACACCAAGAGCTCCTGTCTGAACAGGGTGAGCAAAGTGCTGTGGTGAAATTACAGGGCGTAGGGCCAAGACTGGAGCTGGAACAGGTACTGGTGTGGTGCTTGCACTAGTAGTCTGGAAAAAAGCAATTGGAGCAGCATGTTGAATGGCAGGAGCCGGCAGACGGATGGCAGAAGGAACTTCACCTTTAGGAAACAGAACAGTTAATTATCAGATGTTAATAGAGGAAGAGATTTCATAAACAGCAGCACAACAAACCACAGCCAGAGTCAGAACCATTTCACCCAAAACACTTTCTAGCACTACTACCCTGCAACTCACAATACTGCTTCACAGTTCTGACAACATATTGGACTCAGTCACACACAACTTGGCCTACATGTGTTCTGACAGACAGGTTTGGAGCCCACACATTCAAGCTTCCTTCTACAGAAACCCACAGGTGAAAGAGGGGATTTGGCTGTGAGGCTGGTGAGGGCTGTGTCCTGTCCTGGTACGGCCACAGAACAGGCCTGAAGCTCAGAAGACCTTCCAAGCCTACTGGCTGAGTCAGAGTGAGCCACATTCCGTGTTGTGCTAAAGCAGCAGTGAGGAACAGAAGCAACAGCTAAAACACTCTATTCTCTGATCAGTTGTCTTATTTGTTTCACCACTGAACATACCCACTAGCCAATTTCACTTTGAAACGTTCTGCACAACGTACACTTGAATGTATACTTTCAAATCACATGTGATGTCAACAGGGCTGCCTTTATCCAAAAAGATTTCAAAACACATTGTATGAGTATTTTCAAACCCCATTACCTAGTCTAAGAGTCTGAATTCTGAGTCAACACCACTTAAATGCATCTAGATTTTCACAGTTTGTATATAAGAATCGCTTCAACCACAACAGGATAGTAAACTCTGGAACGAAACATAGTAGCATCTGAGCGTGACACAAGATTATAAAATATACTAGGGTAAGAAAACAAAAATTCATTAATAGTCAAACTCAATCTGGCTCTCCCCGGAGCCTTCTCTTCTCCAGGCTGAACAACCCCAACTCTCTGTCTTCATGGAGAGGTGCTCCAGCAGAAAGAGAGCAGCCCTTGCCAGTAATCTTAAGGAGAAACATGCCATTGCCTGGATCTAAGCTATTTGTTGTTGGGATCCCCTACCCATGCACCAACAGAGCTCTTTCAACACAAAATATGCATTTCAACTATTATAGCTGCCTGTGGGCTCTCTTGCTAATTTCACTGCCCATATTGACTTCTTATAAAAAGGAGGATCCTTAAGGGTTAGGTGCAACTTTTTAACGTGTTCCTTCTGTAACTATATTTTTGTTTGTATAAAGACTGAGTTATGTATGTTCGAACTGCGGGCATGTGCAAGTTCATGACAACTACATACAGAGCTATCCCAGGTGTGCATAGATACCTAAGTAGCTGTTCATGGAAAATGTGCAAACAAAAAATTTCTTGTTCAGATTTAGTGACTGCTTTAATATTGCAGCACACACCTTACTAACACTCTACTGACGTCCCTTCTGATGACCTTGTTGACAATTCCATCTGCCGTCTCTTGTAAGTAGTCTCAGTTGCTGATCATTTGCCCTAGAGCAATGGTGCCCTCACTACCAAGGAACACCAATGTCAGAATGGAGGTGCTGTGGACCAAGCTGATGAGCTTTCTCAGGCTTAGAGAATGTGGTTGAGCACTAGCACAGTTAGAGCTGGTGAGGTGAGATATATGTGAGGTGGAGACAGAACAAGAAAAAGAAACAGCTGTAGCTTAACAGGAAGCACGTCTGAGTAATAAGAGATCCAAAAAGACCAAGAGGTAGCAGGTGGGAACCAGGAGCTACAAAGACAATAGCAGGGGTCTGTGGGCAATGAAGCAGCCAGAAGAATTCAAGAGGCTGAGGAAACAGTAGGTAGAGACTAGGAGTCAGAGGTGCAGTGCAGAGAAGAAACAGAGTGCTGATAGAAACAGCAGTGTCAAGAAAGACAGAAATTGTTTTAACTATATGTACACTACCATATGTATAACTTTTACTACAATACATAAATTCTGAATTTTTAAAATCATTCACTACTGAAAACTCACAGACTGGATGTCCAATACTGTTATTAATGTTGGGGATGATAACAGAATAAGCAGGTGATTGGAAGGGATAAATGCCAGCTGAATTCGTAGTGATGATACTCTGAGAAGGGCTGGAAGGCACCAAGCGCTTCCTTTTGCCTGGTCGTGGTTGATAAACCCAATCTGCCAGAGATGAAAAAAAGATGCAGACATGTAGTATTTGGGATGGTCTCATTCTTTATATAAAACAATGATATCTATAATTATAAAGTATCTAAAAAAAAGAGTCCAAAATCTGCTCTTATAGTCAATGGCAAAACTCCGTTTGTTTCAGAGAGCCAGCAAACGGGGCATTTTATCAGAGGTGGAAAGAAAATGGACATATTTGGGCATTGTTTTTATATTACTAAAGCGTTTGTGAGACAAAGAAATACAGAACAGTGGGGAGTGATGTGGAATAGCTGAGGAAAGCATATTAAGGAGAACACATCACTGTGCCATGGGTTTTTGGTGTGGAAGGAAAAGGGAAACATGGATCTTTTCTGATTGTTTCCTTAACCCTCTAAGGCTCACATATATCTGCAGGTTACAAGAGCCAATGGAAATATGACGAACTAGGATTCCTGCATAGATTTTGTAGGAGTATGTTTGTCTTTGACTTACAACATTAACCATACACTAACAGATGTATAAATATATTATTCCAGTACTTAAAGGGGGCCTACAGGAAAGCTGGAGAGGGACTTTTTACAAGGGCATGTAGTGATAGGACAAGGGGAAATGGATTTAAACTGAAAGAGGGCAGATTTAGATTGGCTATAAGGAAGAAATTTTTCACTCAGAGGGCAGTGAGGCACTGGAACAAGTTGCCCAGAGAAGTTGTAGATGCCCCATCCCTGGCAGTGTTCAAAGCCAGGTTGGATGGGGCTTTGAGCAACCCGGTGTAGTGGAAGGTGTCCCTACCCATGGCAGGGGGGTTGGAACTAGATGATCTTTGAGGTCCCTTCCAACCCAACCGTTCTATGATTCTATGAATATGAATTTACACTGAGTAACTCGGTTTCGTACACAGGTTAACAGGTTAAGTCTTAACGTTACTTTAAAGAAACTTTTTTTTCTTTTTTTTTTAAAAGGGTGCAAGGAGAGGGGGAGAGTGCTGCTTTTATCTTTTGCTTGTTTATGACAGATTAGTCAGATCTTGTCTACCAGGATTAGCCATAATCATGAACTAGCAGGATTATGACAATAGAGAGAGAAAGGATCACGACACCTAGTATCTCAACAGCTTTTTAAAAAAGTGTTCAAAGTACTTATGCTCTGTTTTATTGAACTGCACTGTTATGGAGACATTTATTTGCTAAAGGTACAAATTTTAAATCCTTTTAACAAGAGGCTGAGAAACAACATTTTCCACACTGTTATTTGGGAATCCCAAGTCTACACGTTGAAGAACCCCACAGAACACAATGCCATTTGTGCTTTCTGTGGCATTTCAGTTTCCTGCTTTTAAGGAATGGATGCATGTGTCACTACAGGCCACTCAGACAGCTCTTTTTGGAGCATGTAAAATGATGCAACAGGCCATGGCCACGATAAACTCAGTATCTGGCCGTTAGACTACTAAAGCATTCAGAAGAGCTGCTGGTCTAAAGCCATGAGAAACATTTGAGGCTATGAAGGATGAAACATCATTTTGGATGCTTTAAAAAATTAATATGCTTTCAGGCATTAGAAAACTGACAGAAGGACTGTGTGATTGAAATTTTTGTAATTTTTTTTCTGTGTTACTTGCTCTAATGAAAGAGATCCATTTTTCAAAAAATCTTGCACTTCTAAAGCATTCATGTAAATAAATTCATGTTTACCAGGAAATTCCTCTCTGTGCCTTTGTTTTATTTTCTGGGCTTCATCATAATAGGGCTGTTTCTGCTCTTCAGTCAGTTTGCTCCATTCCAATCCAAGCTGAACACTGATATCTGCATTACTGGCATCTGGGTTAGCTTTTGCTAGGGCAGGCCGATGAATTCTAGCCCACACCATAAATGCGTTCATTGGACGTTTTACGTGGCCACTTTTGTCCTTGCTAAACGGAGTATCTGGCATTCCTACACAACGAAACAAGGAAAGGTGAGCATCTTCCAGGCAATTATGCAATACAGGTTACATTTAATAGTATATCAAGAGGATATTTAGCAATAGTCGAAAGCATCACTGGAACGTTGGAACACATGAAACTTGATGTACATTTAGAGAGCAGTTCCTAGAAAAATAACCAAGGCTAAGGGCGTATCCTCCACTAACCTTCACTGAACCACTGCATAAGGAATCATTTGCCTGGCTTTGTTACATATTATTTTTAAAAAAGAAACATACAGGACTCCTAAGACACTGGTTCGGATTCCATTTGGCTAGATTGTTTTCTGACAAATTTATAAACCCATGAATTTGTAAAATAAGTGTTGTACAGCATAGACCGTGTCACTGCACATTTGTCATCACCACCAGAACTAAGCCTCCACAGCCCTAAACATGCAGGAACCAGATCTTATGATGGTACGGCAGTTTAGTCCCACACCTGCATAGTCCCTGGCTTCTCAGCTGAGGTTGTTGGTGTTACAGGTTTCTGTTTGTTTGGGTTTTTTTTCTCTCTTTTCTTAGATTTGGACACTCTTTTTGCAGGAGGAACCTGTGTTATCAAATGACTGTTACCCGATACCCAGCTTTGGCTCTTTGCAAACACAGACTGCATTTAAATGGAGCTGGTGACACGATGAACTCCCAGACCCCTCACAACTGAACCCTGAGCAAGCAATTTCCTCTCTGAAAAAGCCTTAGAAATTAACTCTTTCACGTTATCAACAAAGGGCAAAAGTCTTCTATTCTTTCAGACCTCACTTCAAGTCATTAATTTTGAAAGCCTACATATCTTTCAAAAAAAGCTTCTAATCCAGATGTTTCAAAATGTTGCTCATTTAACATGTTCAGATTTTCTCAGACAGATGTATGAATGCTTTGAAAATCAAGCAGATTCCTAACCTTAAACTTGCAATCACAACTCAATGCAATTCTGAACACTGTTATAAGGGGTTTAATGTAGTCGGGGAGCAAGTGGAAAAACTGCACTGATTTTAACAAAGCATAGAATCACAGAATGGTTGGGTTGGAAGGGACCTCAAAGATCATCTAGTTCCAATCCCCTGCCATGGGCAGGGAAACTTTCCACTACACCAGGTTGCCCAAAGCCTCATCCAACCTGGCCTTGAACACTTCCAGGGATGGGGCATCTACAACTTCTCTGGGCAACCCGTGCCAGTGCCTCACCACCCTCTGAGGAAAGAATTTCTGCCTTATATCTAATCTAAATCTGTCCTCTTTCAATTTAAAGCCATTTCCCCTTGTTGTATCACTACATGCCCTTGTAAAAAGTCCCTCTCCAAAAGCACCAGAGAACTCCACGCTCCTATATGTTTACGTCTTATGCTGAAGAAGAGTTGCACAAACTCCAGTCTATCCAAAGGGATGGTTTTCTAACATCCTTTCCATTTGTGTTCTCCGATCTGATAACCTGTCAGCTGTGTGCCGCTTATGGAACCCTTGCGAGCTCCCGTAAGGTAATACCTGAGTTGGAGGGCAGCACTGTGAAGGGAACGTTTTTAGTTTCGATCTTTACTGACGGCTCCGGTAACGGCTGCATTTTAAGCGGCACTTGTGGTTTCACCGGCACTTTAGTCCCATGGATCAGCTCTGACGGCGGAAGGCCTGGGATCTCTATGCGGGTTCCAGGAGGTAAGGGGTGAAGCACAAGCGGGACCTTCACATCTTCAGGGAGGATCCCGAACCCCCCAGCCAGCTTCGCCTGGCGGCCGAGGCCGTCGGTGCCGGCAGGAGCGGGCGCGCTCGAGGGGCCAGGCAGGGCACGCTCCTGGCCCGCCCTCGCCCTGCGGACCTCAAGGGCCACGTCGGACGGCTCCGCTTTCACCGGGCACGCTCTCCAGGGCTCCGTCCCCTTCTCCAGCACCCAGCTCCGCCCTTCCCCGCTGCCCCTTTCAAGGTCCCTCTCGGTCTTGATGGCGCCG